GGGCAGGGCTGCAGGTCAGTGCTTCTTCATAGGTGGGGATGGTGCTGGCGTCCCAGTTACTGCAAGGGGAGAAACCCCAACAGTGCAACCTGTCAACAGCAGCATCCCAGCATCCAGCAACCAGATCATTCCAGCACCCAGCAACCAGATCATTCCAGCACCCAACAACACGAACACCCCAGCACCCATCAACTGGAGCATCCCATCAGCCAGAGCATCCCAACACCCATCAACGGAAGCATCCCAGCACCCCATCAACCCCATCAGCTGGAGCATCCCTGAGCACGGCGGACACGCACATGCTGGGGATAGCACATGGGCAGGTTTTGGGTGCCTGGGGTCATTGGAAGACTGTGTCCGTCACTTCCCAGCAGCGGGAGAGGGGGGAGCCATGTGGGAAGGAGGGCACCATCTATCAGGCCTTGCAACAGCGTAACGTCACCCAGTTCCCACCGAGTTTATTAGCCCCTCACTCACGAGAAGGAAGGGCAGCGAGGTGCTGGCTCCCGGGGCATCTGCCCCACGCCGCTTCCCACGGGCAGGAGATCATCCTCGTCATCTGCCCAACCCCAAAGTCCCGCCCCCGAAGCACAGAGGCTGCCAGCAGATGAATGAGCAGTTTGGTACATGCAGCTGGGCGAGAGCCGGGCATCCCGATTCGATGCAGTCGCACCCGCCGGAGCCCTCTGTGCGCCGGCCAAGCCTGGTGCCACTTCCAGCGGCACTTTGCTGAGCAAACACAGCTTGTGTACAGGGAAAACCTCCGCCCAACCTTTGCCCTGCACACAGCCCTGCTCGGCACCCTACGAAACGGTGCAGCCCTGACGACGGGGAGGCTTTGAAGGGATTTTGCAGACGAGAACCCAGCACAGCACGATCGGGGAGGCTGCAGGCGTCGGAGGGGCATGGCTGGGCCAAAGGGGAATGGCTGGTCCAAAGGGAAAGCTGGGATGCTCTGCAGGGATGCCTCCATCCTGAACTCAGCAGCCCCCTGTCCCAACGTACTGCCCCGAGCATCTGTGCCGTGGCTTTTGCCAAGGATGTTGCCTTGGAAATGCGGAGAGGGCGGTTTCTCCCAGCCCAGGATGTCACGCTGCCAACCCTCTGCGGAGCAGGGTTTTCTGCTTTGGAGGGCTTTGCTGGATGCCAGCGCAGCTGGGGCTGCAGGAGCTGCTGCAGCACAGGCAATGATGGGGCAATGCCTTCCCATCCAGCACAGGAGCTGGGAGCTCAGGGAAGGAACAGCAAAACCCTCCACGGGAGGACGACCCCCCCCCAGACTGCCCAGAGCAGCTTATGCTCCCACCCGGGCACCGAAATCCCCAGAGAACCAGGAACGTGCCTCCCACCCCGAATGGAGTTTTTATGCTTTTATGTTCTTAAGCGTTTCTTTTAGTGCTGCTTTTCCCCAGAGCCCAATTTACACTGGAGCCAAGATCTTTGCCGTGACCCCATAAAACAGCACTGGGAAGAGCCGGCTGGCTCAGCTTCCACAGCAGTTTCTGGCAAAAAAACCCAACTTTTGATCAAAAAAACTTTTAAATCAAGAAGTGGGAATGAATCTCAGGCTCACACAGGAAGAGTCGGAGGACCCAACAAGCAGCAGTGGTGTTTGGGGGGGCAAGAGGTCTTCCTACACCCCAAAACGGGCTTTGTAAAGCCACTTGCACTCCCATCTCAGTGCCGATTCGAGGATTAATTTCCTTCTTTTTTTTCTTTTAACATAGATTTTGCATCCACTCAAGATGGCACAAACCCCATCACCCTTACAGAGCACTCAGACCTGCGGCACCGTGCAGGTTTTGACAGCTGGGGGTCTGGATGACCCATCCCACATCCCCAGATCCAGGTGCTCTGCCAGAAAAACAGTGTGGTTTCCTGCTGGGTGGCTCTGCCAGGGAGATGTCTCTTTGGCCAGTGATGGCCCCGTGGGAGCAGCCAGCGTGGGCACGGAGGGTGCCTGCAGGGCGTGGAGGGTGCTGGGGCTCGGGCTGGGGTTGATCCGAATGAGCTGCTGCTCAGGGAGCGGGAGGAGACAGTCAAACCCACCCTCGCCCTCGTCCCACCCAAGCACCGCGCAGGGCCGTGGCACCCACCTGCAGTTCCACTTCTCCAGAGGCTCCGCAGTGAAGTACTGCAGGTCCCTGGGGAAATGGTACTGGTAGCGGCGGGGGGGCACCCTGGCGTTGGCTTTCACGGACCAGAGGAGCCCGAAGAGGAGGAGGATGCCACCGATGCCGCAGCAGAAGAAGCTGACGGAGCGGAGCAGGGCGCTGGAGGAGGAGCTGGGAACTGCCTCGGCTTCCCGGGGAGG